TAACAGCTGAATTACAGAGGAGCATCTGTATTGGTTCTCCTATCCCCGCTGTTTGGTAAGTAGGTCTCTGTAGGCGGCATCCAGCTGCTCTACCTAATAATTGCAGCTCATAGTAGCTGTGATAGTTTATTTTGTGGCAGGTATCTGTGTAATAATCAGGATAATGCACATCCAGCCGGTTGTTATCACCCTTATAAACCCTTCAATATTATACAAGAGTTGCTGATAAACCCGTCATACTCTGTTCTGATGATGATGACCACCAGCTGAATGTTCACATCATCCAATCTGATTTCATTAAGAACCTTTAAAGGGTTAGTTCAATAGAAATTAAAGTTCTGTCATTAATTCCTCCCCTTAGCTTCAGTTTCAATCCCCCGAGACCGTACTCCATCTCCAGAACACGGATGAAGGCATTCTAGATGAAACGCCAGAGCTCTCTTACTGTCTTCATCTGTGATCTGAAGAGGAATGAAGCTCTGAGCACATTAAAACCACTCGAGGGGGAGTAATTAACCACAGAATTATAACCTTCTGGGTGAACTACCCCTTTAGTATCCACAGAACCCGTCCATGTCACAGATCATTCTTTATAGTGAACTGAAAGTAGACTACAGTGCCCGGTAATGATCTAGGTAGTGCTCTTGGTGATTCTCACTAGTAGGCGTTGAAGTTTGGATAGGTCTCGAACAGCAGATCTACATAGTGCTGTGTGACGTCATCAGAAACCTCCACCTCACCGAAGAGCTGCAGGTTCTGGAGGTTATCGATGAACGGCTGCAGAGACAGAAGAAGAAAACAAACAGGGTTTAGAGAAGAATACAGCCACAGAGACTGATGATGGAGATGTTGGAGACGCTGACGCACCGTAATGGAGCCGAAGCTCTGCAGGTCATCCAGCGTGAGAAAACTCAAGAAGACGGAGATGTAGTGGACGAACCAGGCGGTGGAGTTCAGCGCGGGGATAGAGGTGTTATAACACTTCGCAGGCTGAGAATCTGAAGCTGAGGACACAATGACCAGCGTTTAGGCAATGAGAAGGCATTCAGCAACACAAGACGTGCTGATCACACAGCTTTAATAACTCACAGATGTTGAGGAAGACCACGATGCTGTCGTAAAAGTCCTGCTGTGTAAAATCCACCGCACTGTAGTTGTAATTGGCCATCACAGAAACACTAAAGACAGAAACACACATAAAACAGCCTCATTACACCTCTCCAGAGCAGGTCTGATATCTGTCCTGCACTCAGCTGTACTCCGCTCACAGCTCTGGTTAGTGAGCTGCATGCACACCGACTTTTCATTTTCAGTCAGCAGCTCAAACGAACTGTCGCACCATTACAAAATCACAGCGTTTAACATCTGATTTCTTTAAAAACTAGTGATCTTCACTGCATGATAGATATACGATATAAAGTGGGTCTCAGACAAGACAAGAATAAACTCCATTTTCCCCACCATCTCTTTAAAATATGAACATTTATGTAACCTCAGTGTTTATAATAGAGTTTCTGCCCTCAGCAGGTGAGTTTACACGGTTTTTATCTCGTTTTATGCTTCAACATCTGAATGAATGCTGAAGTCTATCTAACTGATTGTATTTAATGACATTACAACATTAATGCTGTAACAGGAACCTTACAAAGATGAAAATAGTCACAGAAACCTGGAAGCTTAACTTTGGTTGAAAACACTTGCTGTGTGTATAGCCCATAGAAATAAGCAGCTCCAGTCTCCGATTTCACTTGCCTTGGTCACAGAAACCAGCTCGGGTACTTGGCAACACTATTAATTATGCTTTTCCTGAAAATATGACCCCACAGAATGTATTTTCTCAATTTCTATTGTTTTTCAATGTAAACACGCTTGACAGACGTGTGTGTGACTATTACGCTCCCGATTCAGGACTTTTGAAGCACTAGTTTTTTAGACACCATGTCAAGTTAAAAGAAGTTAAACTTTTACACTCAGAGCTGCTCATCACAGCAGAGGACCAATCAGAAGACCTCGTAGGCGGGACAACCACTGCAAGGTTCTGTTTAATGAGAATTGGTGTGTTCCTCCACTGTCCCTCCCGCTGGTCTGCTGGGTTTGGGGTGTGTGTTTTTGTGCATCGGTGGATTTGCTCGGTGTTTGGGCTTTCAGCAGAGACACCTACATTACACTGAACTGAACTGAACTTCAACACTGAAAACTGGACTGAAGCAGCTCTGACACCATCTACACTGTAAACGCTCTATAGAAATACAGATGAACTGACTTGAATGTACTCAGTGGCTGTGTAAGCAAACATGTGTTCGGTGAGAATGAGCCCTGTGTTTCTGCACAGCTCCCAGCATGCTGTCAGAACCCAGAGGACTCGTCACTCACATCTTCTGGAAGCAGAGGCAGGAGGAGTTCTGCATGAGGCTGGGGCTGATGAAGGCGGAGGTGAGCAGCGGCAGGTACTGATCCAGACTATAATCAAACCACTGGTCCACCTCAGACTGGTTCTGGACCTGTAGAATCTGAGGCCACACGCTAAACAAGATCTCCCGGGCCAGATCCACAGACAACAGCGGCTCCTGCAGGACAGACAGACACTTAATTTGGGGAACCACAGACACAATAATCCCCTATGGCTAAAGAAGGTGAAGGGTTATTCTGTGATCGATATCCACCGGCTGGATGTACTTTATGCTGATTATTACATGGTTACTGGCCACAAAACTAAACTCTTAGACACAAAACACTGATCTGGACTGCAGTATTTCACTAGCTCTTTAATGAAATGTAAAGCTTGCAGAAAGAAAAACAGCTGAATGCAGCTACACTAACCTACTGATTATTACTATTCAGTCACGAGAAAAACAGTCAACAGTCAGGTGCCAAACAGTCCAGAACAGCAGAGTGACAGATATATGAGTATTCCTGAGAGCCGTGTAATAATATCGATCAGAAGAAGACATTAGCTAATACAGGGGTGTCCAAACTGAGTCTTGGAGGGCCGGTGTCCTGCTTAGTTTAGCTCCAGCTTGCTTCAACACACCTGCCAGGACGTTTCTGATACATGCAGTAAGAGCTTGATTAGCTGGTTCAGGTGTGTTTGATCAGAGTTGGAGCTAAACTCTCCAGGACACCCGCCCTCCAGGACCATTTTGGACACCCATGATCAAATATATCACTGTTATCTAAAAGGATTTAAATGTCAGATGTGTGCACCAGCTTTTAGAGGAGTGAAGGATGCCCGTACCGTCTGTAAGTACTGCGGCGTCTGTGGGTAATGTGTGAAAAACAGGCCGAGTTGAGAAACATCGTCCACAGCGCCCGGCCGGCTCAGGAGACTGGTGATGTCCGATGGAGAGATAGAAGCCAACAGCTGTGATGTGAAACACACACACACACACACACACACACACACACACACACACACACTCAACATTTAGACCCCCGTTGTAAACAACAGACAGATTTAATCTTTGTGTTCTCAGTTCAGAGTCTGACCTGCGGCTCGCGGCCCGGCGGCATCAGGGACAGGAAGGTGGTCAGATTGGGGAACTGGAAACTCATGAAGGACGACGTCAGGAAAGCATAGAAGCTCTGGTTACCATAGCAATGCAGAGGGGCGGGGCCTGTGGGTGGATGAGCAAATGGAGACGTAAACAAACATACATGAGGCATTACAATTCACACACTATCCATCCCAAACAGTGTAGGAATCTAGAATGAAGGCACAGCCACACTGCACTCATCGCTCCAATACTTCCAGTACAGAAGTGAAGTGTGGATCTGTGCTCACTTTACAGCTGCGGTCACACTGGAGTTTGAACATGCAGAAGCAGTCAGACGTGGCAGGAATAAACAAGATGATGTGACTGCTCATCTTCATGTTTTATATTTCAGAAAAGTGTGGTCACTTTCTCTTCTTTCAGCTTGTGTTTCCCATCGGATGCATTCAGAGTATGAGTGAAAGTCAACAGGGCAAAAAGGGCAGTGTCCCCATGCCTTAAAGGAGACCTGTTCTGACTCTTTAGACTAGATGTAAAACGCATCTCTGATATTCCCGGAGTGTGTACTGAAGTTTCAGCTGGAAACAGCACATCAATACTGGCTTATAACTCTTTGCAAATGAAATGTGGATGAAGTGACTGACAGGACTCATTACACTCATGAGCAGCAGAACGGTTCATTAATGAGGAAGAGGTGTCTCCTAAAGCTTGCTCACTGTTTTTCTTCACAGAAAGACTGCGTGATATCTCGCATGTTGAATATAGCATGTGTGAGGACGGCTGTGCACACCTGAGAGAGAGCCCAGGATCAGCTGGTAGATCTGCTGCTGAGTTGCGGGCTGGAAGGTGGAGCTGGAGGAGTTCAGCAGCTGCACACTGAGGACACACAACACACAGACTGAGTGTGTGCTCTGGCGAGTGTGTGAGTGTGTGTGTGTGTGTGTGTGTGTATGTGAGAGTCTCTTACCCCTGCTGGCTGATAGGGCAGGGCCGCTGCTGGACGATGCTGAAGTAGGTTGTCACCTGTTGGACTGTAATGTTCTCTACAAATGGAGGCAGAATGTTGGTGATCCAGAACACCAGATCATTGTCTGATACCGTGGTCAGATTGGCTCTGATGAACACCTGCTGCAGGAACGCTTGCTGCACTGGAGGAGGGAGAACCACATCCTGCATCTGACGGACACAGAGCCAATCAGAAAACACATACTCGACAAAACAGCCAATCAGAACACAGATCCTCTCCAACCAGCCAATCACAACACAGATACTCTACTAACAGTTAATCATAACACACATACTCCTCATGACCATCAGAACACAGAATCTCCACAACCGGCCAATCACAACCCACATACTCTACAAACAGCCAATCATATCACACAGTGATCTGGAACCATAAACCTGTGTTATTCTGCACCCAAGCAGCAGTAGGACACATGTGTGTGTGTGTGTGTGTGTGTGTGTGTCACCTGCAGCGCTCCAGACATGGACATGTAGAAGGATGTGAGCTGTGTGTCCGGCACATACAGCAGCAGGTTAGTGACGGCGGCGGGGCTGGACAGGAGACCAGGAGTGCTGGAGATCTCGGCCAACTGCTTGATGCTCAGCAGACCCAGAGTGTCCATCTGCACAAACACAGAGGAGCTGGTGAACACACACACTCTCATCTGTACACGCTAATCATCTGTGTGTGTGTGTGTGTGTGTGTGTACCACGCTGAAGCTGGGGTTGATCGTCTGCAGGTCCGAAATTGGGATTAAATCTGAGAAACGTCCAAAGCTGCTGATCAGCCAATCAGAGCTGCTCTCAGAGACGTTCACACACCCTGAACACACACCAACACATCGCAAATGAGCGTTTGATGCAAACCCTGAGTGTTTATTCATGTGTGTCTGAGAGGGTCTGACCTGCGACGGTCTTCCTAGAGAGGAAGAATTGAATGAAGTCGAGGCAGACGCTAGCTTGAGTATCGCTGGACATGAAGCCGAAACTCTGACTGAAGCTCTGCACACTGCGGAAGACACTCTGGGTGAGCTGCGTGCACATGTACTGTGTGTGCGTGTGTGTGTGTGTGTGTGTGTGTGTGTGACATATCAGGTCACAAATGTGTATAATGACACAGATATTACAGGAGATGGATTATGAGGACATTGCTGATGCAAGGGATGTCCCCACAATTCACAAAAACAAACCTCTGTGTGTGTGTGTGTGTGTGTGTGTGTGTGTGTGTGTGTGTGTGTGTGTGTGTGTGTGTGTGTGTGTGTGTGTGATTTACACTCACAGTATCCTGAAGGTGTCACAGCTGAAGTCTCTGGTGGACAGACAGGACAGGAAGGTCTCCGAGGCGTAGGGTAAAAATGGGCGGAGTCTGGAGTTAAACCAGCGCTGGACGAACGAACCATCTCGCAGCTCGGAGGAGCTGAAGGAGCTCAGAGTGACCTCTCCAATCATATTCAAGAAAGACTCTAAGGGGAGGGACTTATTCAGCCTCTGGCAGGAGCAGACACAGTTCATCATTATCGAGGAACAACCAAACTGAAAACATGACTTAAATCTGTATGGAGACGTGATCTGATCCGCTGTCTCACCGTGTTGGCGAGCAGGTCGAGCGCTGGACCCAGAACAGGCGTGACCTTCTGCGTGAAGAGTTTCCAGGTTTCATTGGATGCACTTTTATTCCCACTGAGGATGCAGGACAACACGGTTGCCAGATCCTGCGGGCTCAGAGCTGCCAACTGAACACAAAACACAACATACATGTGTCCAGAGAGACAGGAGGAGCATGTCTATATGCGTTCAGGAGTGTTTCTGGAATACCTGTGCACAAGCGTACTGCGTGATGCTGAATTTACACAGCTGACTGCCATCATGAGGTGAACTGAGATACAAGGACACGGCAGAGCTGTGCAAAACACACATTCCTCAGATAACTGTGTATTAAAAGCATTACTATCTGAAGGGATCTTGAAGGTGACCCTACCTGTTGACGCTCTGGCACACAGCCGTTTCTGAGAAAGAGAGAGAGAGAGAGATACAGCCGTCAGCTCAAGCAGGGCATGGTTACACACAGAAATCACATGAGAGAAGTACACCCACCGTTCACTGTAGTGACGCCACACTGCGACAGACAGAAGACACTCAGTCAGTAACACACAAGCTTCAGTCAACACACTACCACCACAACCAGTCTATACTCACCTGCCCGCTGGAGTTCACACACCCTGCAGCGGAGAGAGGCATTTATCAGTGTGTGATCAGACTTTAACACAAATGTAGAGCGCAGTACATACGGCAGCGGGTTACCTTGCGGAGCGCTCTGCAGTACAGCAGCTTGACTCTTCAGAACCACCATCTCCAGATCCACCGAAACACCGAGCATCAGGTGATCCAGACGGTGGACACTAGCACACAGACACAGGCGTGAGCTCCAGAGCGACAGATCACACACACATCAAACACACACATATGAACACACACTCACATCAGCTGATTTGTGGCGCAGGAGACGTTGCTCTGTCAGAGAGGAAGACATCACATGTTAGCAAGTGAGAAATCAGCCAGATTAACCGTCTGTGTTGAGCGCTCTGCTTACACCTCTGCGCAGCCAACACTGTCGTATCGTTCACATTTCTGTTGGTGCTGCTCTAAACACTAGTAGTGGCGCTTTTAAAGTCACAGATCTACTTCATGAGCCTTCAGATTGGATGTGCTCAGCTCGGTTTGCATTTCCTCTGCAGTTTAGTCCTGCATAAAGCAGGTGGGATTATCAGTGTAGTGGCGCCATATTGAAGGCAAGTGAGAATGATTACACTGAAAGCATCACTGACACTGAAGCGTGTCGTGCCACAGTGTAAAAGCGTGTCTTGCTGTACCGACTTCCCAATGATGCTTTGAGCTCATGCCTGAAATCCTTTGCAATGCTGCAGTGGCAGTAGATCAATCTCCAGACATGATATATCACCTTCCGAAAAGCACTTCAGATTGAAAACAATCATGACCGCCATACTGAAGTGTTGTCCCCATCCAAAGTGCTCAAAACTGGCCATCACAAACGGCCTGACGGAATGAAGAGTTTCTAAGGGCACAGCTGATGGACACTCTGTGTCCTATGATCCTGTACGCTGGGAAGTTGATTGGTGTTGTACACTGTGTTCCACTTGGAAGTGCTCATCCCTATGCACTATGACTTGAAGCTGTCAGTTCAGAGAGTAAAGCCTTTCAGGTGATTAGGGCAGGGGAGTCAAACTCAGTCCCCGGAGAACTGCAACCCTGCAGAGTTTAGTTCCAGCCCTGCTTCAACACACTTACCTGTAGGTTTCAAAGCTAAACTGTGCAGAGCTGTGGCTCTCCAGGAGTTTGACACCCTAGGATCAGGGCCGGAGCAAGCTGAACTGCCGCTCTAGGCAGAGGACGATCATGCCGCCCTCAACTCCAATGTGAAAACGAAAGTGACCGGTTATGAAAATGAAGTGAGGTGTCGCGGACCTCTATTCTGTCGCCCTATGCGCGGATATAACTGAGGACGCGCTGGTGCTGAGGAAGGGAGGGAGATGTCGCCGACGCTGCTCTCTCTATTCTGCCGCACTATGTGCGGAAATAACTGGGGACGTGCGGGTGTCGCAGACCTCTATTCTGTCGCCTATGCGTGGATATAACTGAGGACGCGGATGGTGAGGAAGGTGTCACGGACATAACTGAGGACGCGGGTGGTAAGGGAGGTGTCACGGACATAACTGAGGACGCGGGTGGTAAGGGGGGTGTTGCGGACGCCGCCCTCCCTATACTGCCGCCCTAGGTGGCCGCCTAGGTCGCCTCCATGGACGCGCCGGCCCTGCCTAGGATTAGGACATAAGGATGGAGAACTTCTGAGTGGAATACAGTGTCATTCAGGGAAGGAGGAGGCTGAAACTAGAGAACATCCAACAACTTAATCAGAAAACACAAACGTCTCGACCGGAGCTCTTCTGTGGGACATGAGACGTGCTCCACCACCACACCTCTCAGACCTGCCCTAAATCATCACAGCCAATAAGTTAGTATTAGGGTGTGATGAAGGGTAACGTGGGTCTGTGTATACTATGCTGTGCCTAAGTGTGGTTAAAATCATGTTTACCGTCACTAATGATTGAACCATGATGGCGAGTGTGGAGACGATCATGTTTGGCTGCAGAGTCAGCTGATCAAAGACGGCAGGGATGACCACAGCTTTCTCCGGCAGACCAGGAATATCTGCAAACATCAGCTCCACCAGCTGATCTGGGGACAGATAGGGCAGTGCGCTCAGCTGCAACACAACACAGGAGAAAACAACACATTAGGATCAGACATCACGTAACATAACACAGGATCAGACATCACATTAACACAACACAGGATCAGACATCACGTTAACACAACACAGGATCAGACATCACGTTAACACAACACAGGATCAGACATCACGTTAACACAACACAGGATCAGACATCACACTAACACAACACAGGATCAGACATCACGTTAACACAACACAGGATCAGACACTGGGTCTGACTGAACCTTGATTTAGGTCAGTTTTTCCAACAGTCGCTTTCTTGCTGTAATCATAAACCTAAATCTTGTGTCAAATGAGAAAAGTCTCACAGCATGTGGTTCTCATACAACCAAACCCAATGCTTACTCATATCTTTTTTAAATAGCAGCTGATTCATATTAGAGTTCACCCCCAGTGCAGGGTAGTGTAAGGGGGCTTATATGCCTCTTTTTAAAAATTATACATTTCATATGATTGAAAGCATGTGATGTGAGTGTACCGGGTCGAACTGTGGGTTGAGTGCGAATATCTGCTTCAGAGAGACGAGAGCTGAAAACTGGCCGAAGTTACCGATGAGCCACTGAGAGCTGTTGCTGGACACACACGCCACACCTGCACAAACACACATGAACACACACTTATGCACACACAACATGTCTGCAGCACTGCACTAGCACAGGAAGAACAGGTTCTTACAACTCTTAATGAGACGAAACATAACGTGAGGACAAGAAGCGCTGCATTAAACTACATCGCTCACGCTTTGAACTATGGACATTAATTTTACCACAGTATTTTCAAGAAGTTTCTGTGCTCGCCTGCTGCTCCTGATGGCACTTGCGTTTATACTGTCTCATTTTACTCTTGGAGAATTAAATAAGTCTTAAACTGATTATTTTTTAATTACATTATTGATGGTGTCAAAGAAACCTTATGAAATTAAAACCAGTCACATCAACCATCCACCGGAGAATTATTAGACACTGAAAAAGACTTGCTGTGCATTCAGCACTTCACAGGTTATCAGATCACTATTTACTGTGTCACAAATCTAACTATAACTCCTGAAGTGCTCCTCAGCATCCTAATAAGATACAAATAACTCCCATTTCTCAGAGAAAGCTCTTGATGATGAGACATAAGCGACTGTAAGTTAAAGACACAAGCAGGAGTGGAGAAGAGTTCAGTACCTGCAGTCCCTCTGGAGAGGAGC